TTTAAGTAACTACGTATGCTCGATTAAAAATCTGCCGCTTGAAATATATTTATATATATCAAGAGACGTATATTAAATGACGTCATGGTGGGAGGGTGCGCCCGGGGGTGTAGCTGGATGATCAACAGCCACAGACACCTGTGGGGTTGATGAAGGGGAACGTGATCGATCAGTATCGATCTAGATCGATTCATGCGTGTCCTGCAGCTAACGATTGAGATCAAACGTTTGATTGGTTGCAATATTTGACGTGATTTGTCGAGAGGCACCCTCCCTCCATCCACCCCTCCCCCCCCCCCCCCCCCCCCTACCACACAAACACACAACATAAATAAAACAACTTTTTTAATGAGAGGTTCTGTAGGGCGACAAGCGAACTTTCGAGAAGCCCAAACTTTCAAGACATCGTCCAGAGCAGGAAACTTTCCGAACAATAGCTATACCTTCAACTATACAATAACTAGAGTTTCAGAGCAATAGCTATACCTTCAGCTATACAATAGCTAGACTTCCAGAGCAATAGCTATACCTTCAGCTATACAATAGCTAGACTTCCAGAGCAATAGCTATACCTTCAACTATACAATAGCTAGAGTTTCAGAGCAATAGCTATACCTTCAGCTATACAATAGCTAGAGTTTCAGAACAATAGCTATACCTTCAGCTATACAATAGCTAGAGTTTCAGAACAATAGCTATACCTTCAGCTATACAATAGCTAGAGTTTCAGAACAATAGCTATACCTTCAGCTATACAATAGCTAGACTTTCAGAGCAATAGCTATACCCTCAGCTATACAATAGCTAGAGTTTCAGAGCAATAGCTATACATTCAGCCATACAATTGCTAGAGTTTCAGAACAATAGCATTACCTTCAGCTATTTAATAGCTAGAGTTTCAGAACAATAGCTAGATATATACCTTCAGCTATACAATAGCTAGAGTTTCAGAACAATAGCTATACATTCAGCCATACAATTTCTAGAGTTTCAGAACAATAGCTATAACTTCAGCTATACAATAGCTAGACTTTCAGCTATACGGAAGGTGGTATGACAAAGTCTCTGAAGTCTCACCTGTCTGACATAACGAGTGGACAGACAGGCGCAAATGGATTCACCGCAATTAAAATACCACCCCCACCCCTCCCGTGGTTATTGATTGCAACCAACTTTAACGCCCATTCAAGACTTTTTAATATCCAATCAATTTTTTTTTACATTAATTAAAAAAAATTAAGACAATTTACTCCACAAAGTAAACTAGTTAGACCACCATTCACAACTCAAGGTGCGTCCTTGAGATAGTTTAAAACGCCTTAATGAAGTCGTCATTACTTCTAAATGAGGACATTCATTTTTATATCGATACACTTATTTTTCTGTAGTAGAATCGACTTGATGGTTTGTTCGTTCATCGAATAATTAAAACCACCGAAAGTACGCAAGTGGCGACAGTCAATAGTTGACAGTTTACTTGCTTGTTGACATTCTAGTCAACTTATTGCACCACTGCATGTCAACTTGAATCATTCAATATACCCTCACTTAGAGTATTGGTAGGATGTGTGTTTTCTAAACAAACATTTCACACAAACTACTATCTATATTGATTTACAAGGGAAATTTATGTAAGCGACTTCCTGTTTTAAAATTAAACACAACTTTAGACTGCGCAAGGTCAAGGTCAAGTAAAGAGAGCTGGGCACTGACCATTCACAGAAACAGGTTAACCCTACTACACCTGCTAAAGGACCGACATGTTTTCAAAGGTACTTTACTTTTTTTTACTTGGGTTAGGGTTAGGGTTAGGGTTAGACCGTTGATCTGCTAGGGTTAGGGTTAGACCGTTGATCTGCTAGGGTTAGGGTTAGACCGTTGATCTGATAGGGTTAGGGTTAGACATTTAATCTGCTAGGGTTAGACCGTTGATCTGCTAGGGTTAGGGTTAGACCGTTGATCTGCTAGGGTTAGGGTTAGACATTTAATCTGCTAGGGTTAGGGTTAGACCGTTGATCTGCTAGGGTTAGACCGTTGATCTGCTAGGGTTAGGGTTAGACATTTAATCTGCTAGGGTTAGGGTTAGACCGTTGATCTGATATGGTTAGGGTTAGACTGTTGATCTGCTAGGGTTAGGGTTAGACCGTTGATCTGCTAGGGTTAGGGTTAGACATTTAATCTGCTAGGGTTAGGGTTAGACCGTTAATCTGCTAGGGTTAGGGTTAGACATTTAATCTGCTAGGGTTAGGGTTAGACCGTTGATCTGCTAGGGTTAGGGTTAGACATTTAATCTGCTAGGGTTAGGGCTTTAATCTGCTAGGGTTAGGGTTAGACCGTTGATCTGCTAGGGTTAGGGTTAGACTGTTTAACAGCTTGGCGAAATTTACACAGCCCTCCAACTTAATATGTAATACGGCCCACCAGTTTCATACATCGGCCCACCGGCTTCTTTTATCCCGTTTCAAATATTAGTTCACCACATATAGGCCCACCATAAATGGGCCCTTCATATATTAGCCCTCCATATACTAGCACATCGTAAGGAAGTGTGTGGAAAAGTTTGTAGGGAAGTGTGTGGGGAAGTGTGTGGGGAGTGTGTGGGGAAGTGTGTGGGGAAGTGTATGGGGAAGTGTGTGGGGTAGTGTGTGGGGAAGTGTGTGGGGAAGTGTGTGGGGAAGTGTGTGAAAAGTGTGTGGAGAAGTGTGTGGGGTAGTGTGTGTGGAAGTGTGTGGGGAAGTGTGTGAGGAAGTGTGTATGAAGTGTGGGGAAAGTGTGTGGGGAGTATGTGGGGAAGTGTGGGGAAAGTGTGTGGGGGAGTAAGTGTGTGTGTGCGGCCCATATAGAGTGTATAGGCAGTGTGTGGGAAGTGTGTGAGGAGTTTATAGCAAGTGTGGGGTGAGTGTGCGAGAAAAGATGTATAAACGGTGTGTAGACTGATCGTCTTTTGTTACTCACACAACGCGCGCCTAACGAAAAAAAAAACGATTTCGTGTGTTCAAATGTTCGCGACGATTACATTCTTACCTCTTTAAAAAAGTAAAAACTAGAACTCAAAGATTACTTTTCTGTCAGAACCTTCTTTGAAAGGTTGTCCATGTCTACTCAAATAGTTCCGTTCAAATGTATTCTCGTGTGAGTGCGCTTTGCCAAAGTGAAACATTAACTTCAAAAAAAAGAAAAAAAAAAAAAAAAAAAAAAACTAAGCATTTTTTAAATTAAAATTACATTTTTTTTAAAGAGAAAGATGAGCCATTTGTGAGTTTGGTTAACCCTAAAAATGTTTTATTTGCAAAGAACCGGATAGTTGAGACATAAAAAAACTGACAAAAATTAAGAATCGCAATCAAGCACTCGACTGAGTAGGGCGCTCTAATTGTTGTTGACGTGGAACAGAAAAAATTGGTTTTTGTCAAATTAATTTTTTTTAGCAGCACGTTTTAAAAATGATTAAAATTAAAACTAAAATAATCAATTTTTGTAATCAATGTTTGCAAAGCAGTGAACTTGATTTTATTTTATTTTTGGGCGAATTTTTTTTTCTTTTTTCAAAATGTAACTTTAAAGACTTGACGTATCCTTGGGTCACAAAATATGACCGGAAGTAGTGTTTGGTCCACAAAACGAAACCGGAAATAGTGGGGTAAATGGGAGGGTATTTGGGGGTTGGTGAGTCGAGTTGACCTACTAATTAAGAAGCCAATTATGTTTTAAATAGTGAAGTACAGAAAGTACTTAACCTGTTCTCATTTACAAAAAGAAAAACGTCTTTAAAAAACGTCAATCAAAGGAGTGGTAACATAATATTGTTTCAAAGCCTTAAACACTTAATCTTGTTTCAAAGCCTTAAACACTAAATCTTGTTTCAAAGCCTTAAACATTTAATCTTGTTTCAAAGCCTTAAACACTTAATCTTGTTTCAAAGCCTTAATCACTTAATCTTGTTTCAAAACCTTAATCACTTAATCTTGTTTCAAAGCTTTAAACACTTAATCTTGTTTCAAAGCCTTAAACACTTAATCTTGTTTCAAAGCTTTAAACACTTAATCTTGTTTCAAAGCCTTAAACACTTAATCTTGTTTCAAAGCCTTAAACATTTAATCTTGTTTCAAAGCCTTAAACACTTAATCTTGTTTCAAAGCCTTAACACTTAATCTTGTTTCAAAGCTTTAAACATAAACTAGGATTGTCTGAACTAGTTTGGCCAACGTTATCCCTAGACTTGATCAAATGTTCAGTTTAACAAATAAAACAGGTTTCGTTCACATTTTTTATGTTAATTTGGTTGTAGTTCTTCACATATGAATGTTTCTTTTTAACTTTTAACTTTCTCGAATACAGAGTATAGAGAAAGTATTTAATCGCGCAAAAATTAGACGAGATTTTGACAGTTTTCGCCATTTTACACCTCTTCACATTTTTTAAAACTCTGTAATTTTATATAGGCTTTTGAAAAGTTACACTTCTTCAAAGTGTTGAAATAAATTAGTCTACATACCTACCTGTACAACTGTTTTTTTTTATGTCTGATTAGTCTACATGCCTAGCTGTACAGCTGTTTTCTATGTCTGATTAGTCAACATGCCTAGCTGTACAACTGCTTTCTATGTCTGATTAGTCTACATGCCTAGCTGTACAACTGCTTTTTAAGTCTGATTAGTCTACATGTCTAGCTGTACAGCTGATTTCTATGTCTGATTAGTCTACATGCCTAGCTGCTCAACTGCTTTCTATGTCTGGCCTAAGACAGAGGTAAGGGGAACTAAATCAAATTTTCTTGATTTCATTTTTTAGTGGAGTTTCATGGGTACATTGCTAAAAGAAAGTCGCCTTTAGTATTTTACTAGATTTTTTTTTACACTTTAAGGGCGTCTTACAGAGAAGGGACTTCAACACTGTGTGTACGTATGGACGTCCAACACACGTCCACACACGTCCACACACGTCCTACGCACGTCATACACACGTCCACACACGTCCGGACGTCCACTAGCTCTACTCACCACAGTTCTCCTCGTCCACCCCGTTATCACAGTCCTCGGTGAGATCACATCTTTTGATGACGTCAACACAATGGCTGTTGTTACACTGGAACTCATTGGGCAGACAACCTGTAACACAAGATCTTGTTACATCAGTGGCGGCACTAGGTGGGGTGTCACTAGGTGCGCACCTCACTGTAACACAAGATCTTGTTACATCAGTGGCGGCGCTAGGTGGGGTGTCACTAGGTGCGGCACCTCACTGTAACACAAGATCTTGTTACATCAGTGGCGGCGCTAGGTGGGGTGTCACTAGGTGCGGCACCTCACCTAGCGCCGCCACTGATGTAACACAAGATCTTGTTACATCAGTGGCGGCGCTAGGTGGGGTGTCACCCGGTGCGGCACCTCATGGTGTGACCCCCCCCCCTCCAAGCCTCGCGACGCCTCTGTTACATTAACAAATTCTACCATATTAATGTACATGTAAAAGTAAAGTTCCCTTTTCGGACCTTGTACATGGAGCAAATAAAGTTCACCTGTTTCTGTAACCTCGGCTTTTGAATGGATAGTGTGTTCAGCACTATGTCCTAGTGCTTGTATTGAAACATTTATTAAGTAGAAAGCAAGTACCCTTTCAAAAATTAAGGTCCATGAGGCAGGTGAGGTAGAGTTCACTTGTTTTGGTGATCTCAACGTATGAAGAGATAACGTGTTCAGCACAATGCCCTAGTATATGTATATGTATTGAAACATATATTATGTAGAAAGTAAGTACCCTTTCAATTCAGGTAAGGTAGAGTTAGATATTTTTAGTGACTTCGGCATTGGAAGGGATAGTGTGGTCGACTTGTATGCCATGCCGACTTTTCTCTCCGTAACGTGAGTCAGGTACCCATCAGAGCTGGGTGAACTCTTGGACGGCCTACGGACTCAGGATCCGAATTCAAGTATTACGGATTAGCATCGACCGCTCTACCATTCGACCACACAGCCCCATAATAAATTATGTTGTATAATTTCGCGGACCTCGAGTTAGCCTAATTGAATGACGTCATCAAGCACGTGACCGGAACTCACCGCATCTCTCCACCGCCTCATCCCGCCCGTCGCCACAGTCCGCGACCTTGTCGCAGGTGGCCGTCACGGGGATGCAGGAAGTGCGCATGTCGTCACAGCTGAACACATCCGGGTCCTGGCAGCTCGTCTGCTTCTGCTGGGCTGTCGTCTGCGGGGGCTCGTCCACGCCCGCCACGTCGATCTGGTAGCTGACATCTTTGGCGAGTTTCTCGGCGAGTGTGGCGCGTCCTGAGGAATGAAGAAATATGGAGTTAGAGTACATTCATGATTAATATTTACAAAATGTTGTGACCACAACGATAGTTGAAGTTGTTGTGGCCTCTTTTTTGAGATACCCGTTGGGACGCTGGCGGTCTGTGATGCAGGTGAAGCAGAGTTCACCTGTTTTTTGTTTTTTTTTGCGACATCGGCATATGAAGGAATAAAACGGCTGAACCTTCTTTACTTTCCTCTAACTTGAGTCCGGTACCCATGAGAGCTGGGTTCACTCAGTGAAGTGTTCAGCCATGTTTAAATCCTTATTTACTGTGATGTTATCCAGTAACACTGGAATCGGGTGATCAGTCCCTGGGTGTAGATGTAGAATAATTAACTTTATCTGGCATCATTATGCCAAGCTCATACGTTAGCTGCTGTACTATGTCAACATATGATAGGAATCATCTATCATCCTAAAATCTAGGACCTATCTATACATGTATATATATATATATATATATATATATATATATATATATATATATATATGTATATGTATATATATATATATATATACATATACATATACATATATATGCATTTCATACATGCAGATATAACCATTTACAGCCGATTTTCAATACTCTGATGTGCATTCGTGTGTAAAATTGTTGATTTAAATTAGCACATTGATGGCTGAATGATACAGATAAAAACAAAATTTCGACCTGTGATAAACTTTAAACAAGGGTTTCCGGTACAAACTTGTGCACTGTGAGGTGTTAATTTATGTTTTATGTTTAGTCGTTTCTAATTCCACTCAACCCACCCCCTCCCCACCCCTCATACCTACCCCCACCCCCGTCGTCTTATTTTATCAGTTAATTATAAACACGAGCGAATACAAAAAAATCGATTACTATAAAGGTATCGTCTTCTTTTCATCAAGTCAAAGTTGAATCAATTAAGAAAAAAGAATCTCTTGAAATCGATACCGTTGTTTTTGTTTGAAGCTGTAATCGACTTGATCCACCAGAAAAACGTGGGCGATCCTGTATTATTGTCCAGCTTAAGACCAACAGAGAAATCATTGATCACTTTTGAACGTTTAATTAGCCCGTCTCTAGCCTGATTAATATTCAGTAAATGTAGAAAATGGAATGTTAATTTTAAAATTGTATGCACGTGAAAACCTTTAACTAGGTGCTATCATTAACAGACACTAGCCCGCAGCGTTAAGGACTTCAGGAGACTTAGCCCATCATGTTAAGTACAAAAGGAGACATTAGCCCATCTGGTTAAATACAAAAGGAGACATTAGCCCATCTGGTTAAGTACAAAAGGAGACATTAGCCCATCTGGTTAAGTGCAAAAGGAGACATTAGCCCATCAGGTAGGAGACATTAGCCCATCAGGTTAAGTACAAAAGGAGACATTAGCCCTTCAGGTTGTGTTTTGAGAGGAAGGTCTCAAGCAGTTCATGCTTGTATAGTTCCGCATGAATATAAATGATGCATTTATATATCGAAAGAAAACACGCTACTGATTGTATAAATCTCAGAGTGTTGTAAAAATGTGACAAAAATGATGTAGTATAACCTAGTAAAAAATTTAATTAACTTTAAAATAATGATTTTCGTTTAGTTACGAAATTAATTGCTGTTTTTATGTAGGTGTGCGGGGTGTGCGGGGTGTGGATGTGCGGGGTGTGGGTGTGCGGGGTGTGGGTGTGCGGGGTGTGGGGAGGATTAAGCCCCAGCATTCACCAGTTGGTTCGTCTAAATCCCGAGAGATCTGGGCCCTGTTTGTGTCTGTTTATGTTCAAGTTGTGATGTGCTGCATCTCTCCACACAGGAAAACAAAACCACACGCGAGATAAAAAAAACACCCACACAACCAATACCTCAACATTCCCTACCACCACCACCACCACCACCACCACACCATCTGTTTACATCACCTTGTTTAGTCTTTGTGTCTGGAGAATATTTTAACGGCATTTTTTTTTTACATGAGATGTTTCACACTGCGTTGTAGTTTATACGTGAGTACAACATTTCATCTGTAAAGATTTTGTTTATTTACCCGTCTATATAGCGTGGCCTAGCGGTAGAGCGCTAGAGTTCTAACCCGAAAGTGTCGAGGTCGAATCCAGGTTCAAGTCAGTAGAGCGTCCCTGAGTCCACCCAGCTCTGATGGGTACCTAACTTATGTTACGGAAAGTACAGGCGGCTGGGCATAGTGCTGACCACACCATCACTTCGTATATGAACTCTACTTCACCTGCCCCATGAGCCGTCAGGTTCGAAAAGGAAACCTTACTTTAGTTGTACCCGTCTCCATAGCTAGCGCAGAAAAAAAAACACGTGTATCTACGACTGACGCAACCTGCTTGGTGACATTGTGAGTAAGATTCCTGACATGCATTTCAGTGCAATCTACTTGGCGACATTGTAAGATTCCTGACAAGCATTTCAGTGCAATCTACTTTGTGACATTGTGAGTAAGATTCCTGACAAGCATTTCAGTGCAATCTACTTTGTGACATTGTGAGTAAGATTCCTGACATGCATTTCAGTGCAATCTGCTTTGTAACGTTGTGAGTCGATACAGACAGACTGCATGCTATGCCGGCACAAAACAGGTGTAGCCTAGCTTCCACCACAGCCCTCCCACTCCACCCACTCCACCCCAACAACCCCACTCATACCACCCTATCATCCGCCACTCCAGCCCCCATATCGTTGTCTGGCCAATTAGCAATCAACGTATTTAATTATCTGTGTCGAAATATCTCTGCCATTCTGTGTGTCTGGCTTTAAAAAATCCGGCAGCCAATTAGAATCAGGCAGTCGAGCGAGATTTGCCGTGCTGTCATGACATGACATGTTGCCTACATCACGGTGTGACAGCTGACATTACGTCATGTCATTTGTCGTGGCGGTCAATTTGTTTGATTGGGTGGCGAAAGTTGTAATTAAAATGGTGTGTGGGATGATGTGTGGGTATATATTATGTGTGGGAGAGATTATCTTGTACAAATTTTTCTTCCCCCGAGTGAGGTTATTGAATGAACATTGAATTAAGTTGTGAACAATAATTGATTTTCAGATAATATATAAGAGCTAAGCTTAATGTAAGAAATATATTGTTTTAGATTTATTTCTAAACACAACTCAGTGTTTTTTCAATAAACATGTTTATGTTTATTTCTTATTTCGTACATCTTTAAAAATTTACAAAACTCAAAATAACAAAATAAATGTGCGCATACAATCTCTAATAGCTTAAACTGCGTCATATACAGATTTATTTAACTTAAAGAAAAAAACATATCAGTTTCCTCCCCTGACAATATAGCGTTTGATGGACTATAAACAATCGTTCATTGTGTTTAGAATGGCGGTTAATTGTTTTCATCGAATTTTTTAAATTTGCAGTTGTTAAAGATACAACAACCTTGAGTGAACTGTTTCAAATATTATTTATTTTATGAATGAATCAACTTTAATTAAATATTTTAATTCGACAAACGTGTCGAATTATCTGTTAAAGAAACTGTTTAAGTCGTTCTTGTCTCTATTTTCACACCTCAAGTTTCAGAAAAGATCAGTTACAGTGTCACTGAAGATAGTCTATTTTGACATTTAATGTTTATAGAAAATATCGGTTACAATGTAACAAAAGAAACTCCATTTTCACATATAATGTTTGTATAAATATCAGTTACAATGTAACTAAAGAAACTCCATTTTCACAAATAAAGCTTGAGGAAAGATCGGTTCCATTGTCAATAAGAAACTCCAGTTTCAGATTTAAAGTTTGAGAAAATACGCTTGCAATTTCACTGAAAATATTGTACCTTTTGTGAGACACGTCGTCCTATAATTGTGCTTAATTCAATAAATATAGTAAGATTTCAAACTAAATAGTGGGATTTCAAACTTTGTTTAGTGAGATTTTAAACTTTTTTTTAAAATAGTAAGATTTCAAACTATTTTTAGTGAGATTTCAATTTTTTTTAATAGCAAGATTTCAAACTTTTTTAAAATATCAAGATTTCGAACTTTTTTTTTCAATAGCAAGATTTGAACATTTTCTTAAATAGTGAAATTTAAAAAAAAAATTAAATAGTGGGATTTCAAACAATTTTTTTTAAATAGTGATATTTGAAACATTTTTACTAAAACTCATTGCAGTAGCATAACAAGATAATACAGAGGAGTGGGGTGATACCAAAACTAAAATTTGCAAATTATTGTAGAAGGTGGGGTGACACCCCCAGTTTCCTCACCTGGTGACTCTCGACCTTGTGACGCCACTGCGTACACTTTTCTCATAGAAACAAGTTATGCACTAAAATCTCCATACCACACTACACGTTTGATACAAGATAATCGTAAACGAGTTAATTTCAGAATATTTAAAAAAAAATGTTTCATTATTTTAAATTTTTTAATTAAAATACATTTTAATCGAGATTTGAAAAGAAACGTATAAAATTGTATTCTGTTTAAAAAAAACTTTAAAAAATGTAATGTTAATTTGTTTAGGATTTTTCGCGTTGAATTTTTGTGTGTTTAGAATTGCGCGTTTTATTTGTTGTTCCATTGTTCGGCGCTATGCAATTGAGCGGGATTTCCCCAACAAAAACTTTCCGAATAAAAGCGCAAGAAATCAATCGTCTGCTCCGGTCTCAGTTTTCCTGCAGGAAAAATTACTCAGAAAACGGCCGCAACATGCAATATTTCGCGACCCCTTCAGAGATTAGCTTTCATTTTGTACTTTTTTTTTAACGACTGCATATTTTTGTTCAGTTTCTAATCAATTCGTTTTTTAATGCTGTTTATTTTTTGTCGTTATTTTCTATAGCCCGCTATGTATTCAAGTACTGTCAGGGTTTCTCAGTGTAATTAGTACAACCTACAATACCACGGGAATGTAAACCGCTGAAGGCAAGGTATTCAACAGTCCCAGCAGTTTGAAAATCTCTAGATCGTTCTTTTTTAAATATTGAAAAACGGTTTGCT